TCACCTCGCACCAAACTAGCTGACCTCTCAGCCTCTTGCTGAGTCACTGCATATACTCGGGCAACTGGAGGTGGGAGAGGTAGAGATGGTTCCTCAACCACAATAGGAGCCGGAGTGGCCTGAATAGTAGAAACCTGTCCCCCATTAAAGGGGCAGTCCCTAATAAAATGCCCAGGTTGGCCACATTTGTAACACAATCTTTGCTCTTTTCTGCAAACCCCAGCATGAACTTTACCACATGTAGCACATAGAGAAGCAGGCTTAATATTTCCAGGCTTAGAATTTCCCGCCTTTTTGAACTTACCATCAGACTGTCTAACCTGCAACCCTTTTCCTTTAGAATTCCCAGAAGTGTTTTTAGGACCAGAATTAGGAGCAGATTGGTCCTTATGCTTCCTTCTGTAATATTCTTGAATATTTTTACACTTTTTAACAAGTGCAGCAAAAGTATCAAATGAGTCACCTGCAAGTTTTTCAGAGATGTTATCATGTAATCCTCTATGAAATTTAAAAATCAAGTCATCCTCTGTAGGTGGAGCTCTCTGGAAATGAGAGTATTTGGCCAGCTTATTGAACTTATTCAAGTATTCATCAATAGACATCTGACCCTGCTTTAGTTCTTCAAATTCACCCTTCTTCCTTATCCGGGCTTCAGCCGGAAAGTATTTCAGCAAGAATTGCCTTTCAAATAAAGGCCAGGTAATAGCATAACCCTGACATTCCAAGGGCAGACGGGTATTTCTCCACCAATCAGCTGCATCATTCTGCAACATATAAGAAGCATACAACAATTTCTGCTGATCATCACACTCCATGACAGTAAAAATGCGATCCAATTCTTCTAACCACTGAATTGCAGCAATAGGATCAATGCCTCCTTTATAATTTGGTGGTGCATGTTTTCGGAAGGCATTAAGCATTCTTTCTCTTTGCTCTCTATTAGTGGCTGGCTGTGCCACACCACCCCTGTGACTAGATTCTTCATTCACATCATTATTTCCTTCACCCTCCACAACAATGGGATTTTGAGGAGGAGGAACAGGCTGTTGTGGTTGTGGCTCAGGCTGTGGCTGTGGTTGTGGCTGTTGCAAAGGCTGTGGCTGTGGACCTTGCCCACCCGCCCTCACCTCAACCAAGAGTAATCTCATCATTTCAATATTCGCCATTCTGCTTGCTGCCATCATTTCTTGATTGGCCAACCTATTAGCCTCTAACAGATCTTGATTTGCTTTCATCATCACTTCAAGCTCTCGCTGCCTAGCTGCAGCCATATTTTGTTGCATCTCAGTTAAGGCCATTATCATTGGATCTGGCTGTGAAGTATTTCCCCGCTGGTTAAGTCGGGGTCTTGCCAAATCTGCTAATATTGGATCGGTCGGGTCAATAGGAGGATCAGAAGTCCTTCTTGGGCGAACCATAATTCTGCATATTTCACACAAAGGAATGAGTTAGCTACGCTCACACTCGGTGATCAGACATGCATATCATAGTATTCCAAGAAAAACTCAAGAATATAACAACCCGAACAGTTCATGCAATATTTCACAGGCTCTCCTAGAGAAACTGCTCTGATACCATAAATGTAACATCCCCGTCTCGAGCCGGTTCAATTAACATACATATGATAAAACAGAAAACAGCGGAAGACTTAACTTCTGAAAATACGAGCTAACTTTTTTCTTTTTATTTTTAAATTCTCATTCGTCGTAAACGAAAATCGGGCAGAGTTTCCTCTATAAATCGGACAACTGGGGATTTTCCAATCCCACACAGAAGCATTTCCTGATAAACAGTTTATACAAATATACTCAAATGCCCATCCATGGGCGCATGCATAACTTGGCTCAGTGCCACTATATCTAACAGCATGCAATCCAACAGGTAAACATATCTGAATACTACCTCATCACATAACGTGCCTGAATACCCAAATGTACATGCATCAAAGCGACAGACGTGTACAAAACATATACAGGCCATATACAAAATAAAGGATCAATATCATGATCCATCAAATGCGAAAATACTAAAATACATCAAACACTCCAAAAAGGTAGTAGCCTACAGCCACTCAAAATCCGGTCTGTCAACTGCCTCAGACACGTGTCGTGTCCCTGCCTAGTGAGGACTCACCGGGAATCTGGGCACCTGAAAATGTGTCCCCAAAGAGGGTTGAGATTACAAATCTCAATAAGCTCCAGGTTTATAGAGAATTCTCCATACCCCTGGCTCACTCCTGCATGAAAGTCAGATACAAAACATACGAATACAACATATAACAGATATCATAACAGAACAGAGCATATATCCATATCATATCAGAGATGTGCGCCGTCATTCCCAAGGGAGGACCCCAAGCGGAAATCAACGCACGTGTTCCCGAGGGAGGACCCCAAAGCGGAACCAGACATATCAGAGGCGTACACCATCAGCCCCGAGGGAGGACCCCAAAGCGGACGTCCGGGTACTATACAATCAATGGCCAGAGATTGTTACAGAAATCATATTACAGAAGTCATATCAGAGCAAAACATATCATGTTATCAAATAACTCTATATGAATGCATCTATACAAAGCATCTAAATCACAGTCATACAGTCCAACCATAGTTCACTAACCATGGTGGAGCACTCAAGCAGGAAAAGACTCCTTAAACATAGAGCTTACCTCTTGAAGCTTTACCAATACGCTTACTTGTGGAACAAGTTACTTTTATCGCTTCAAGAGATTTCCGATCCTTCTCAATCCCTAGGCACACCTAGAGAATAATTTCCAATGCATCAATAAAATGATATTATGCCATGATTATTTCATAAGCACACACTTTATTGTTTACTTTACTTTCTTTATATTTTTGCCAATACTATGCCAATACACAAGTCTAGTCCATTTTAACCAATCATTCTTATAATTTCATGTATTGTACTCAACACTTTAACCAATTAATACATGCTCTATCTCTATTTATTTTTACCCTATTAGGCCAAAAATCCTAGAAGGAAGGCTAAGGGTTTTCTTTCTTGTCCATTTGTTTTCCTTCACTTAATTTAATACTCTACATACATAAACGTACCTCTCCTAAATTCCAACAAAACTTTTGGAACTCAAGCCTTATAACCATCAAGGCCGAGCCTCAAAGGGGGGTAGGTTTCCAAAAGATTTCTTTCCAATTAATCATTCATATCACTTTATCACTTTACACTAAATTACAACATGTTTTTACTTGTCAATAAATGCAATAAGAATTTACACACTAACCCCCTAAACTCTACAAGGCCGAGCCATCAAGGGGAAGAGGCATAAAATTTTCCTTCAATTTATTAAATACATAATCATGCTTATTCCACATTCCTATATCCAACACATCATCAATCCATCATCAATTCAAATTTTAAACTAATTTATTTCACACCAACACATGCTCACAATTTCTATGACACAAACCATCAAAATAACATCATGGAAACAAAGGTTTCTTACCACTAATCAACTTCCCAAAGCCTAGAAAGCAACCTCCATCAAAAACTCATTTTTTCTCCTCCAATGAATAGTAACTCGAAAATGAGAGGAGGAATAACTCTTCACACACTCAACTATAGCTCAAATGGATAGGAGGAATGGATTCATTGAGTGGTTTCCAATCAATTTCATGTGGTGGGTCATTGGATTTGGTGGCATATTCAAGAAGAAATCAAGAAAAGAAATAAAGCCCTAAACCCCCCCCTTCCATGATGAACTCCACGGCTTGCAAGAGAGAGAAAGGAGTTTTAGTTGTGTGAATAGTGATTCACTTGAATGACAAAGCTTTATAGCCACATGTGACTTTTTAACAGATGTTTTTCTTTCACGTATTTTCACTTAAACTGATCCGGAACTAACTCAATGCTACAAACATATTTTTATTTTTCTAAAATCATTTATATTAATTTTTAATTCTTACAAAACAATATTCATAATTCACAGTATGATTTTTGCACCGTTTTTGACGAAATGCACTGTGAATCACTAATTGTACTTCCTTTACTTATGAAACTTAAACTTATAAACTTATCATTTTCTTGGGCCTATATTGACTTGCTTGGCATATATTGGACTTTCTTATTCTTATTTCATCAATTATTTGTTTCTGGGCTCTACCGGTTGCTTAAACAGGAGTACAAAATACCCGGTAGAAACACTATTCACGAGATTTTCACGGAAAGTGCCAGACTATACAATTTTTCGTTCTGGACTCATATTTGTCGTCAGAATTATCAAATTATGTTCCTAAAATTATTTTGCTCATTTAAGCTCTACCGGTTAATTCACAAAACTGTAAATTCTTCGGCAGAACGCACTGTTCATAACATAGTCATGATTACAGTCAAAAATACTCGAAATCGCTCACTGAATCTAATTATGGCATTTAAATCCTTAAATTAAATCTCTAACTAAGATTTACCAGTTAGGGTCATTATAACTTCGACCGAGTAGATAACTTTTTTTTTTTTTAAAACACTATGGGATTGTATATTTACAAAATGATGCACTTGTTGATGAAACCATCCGTAGGTATATAATTTATTGCAAAGAGGCTCCTCAATCAAGCAAATCACATGGCATGTTCCCAGTAAGCTAATCAAACGGCCATGATCAAATCTCAAAAGCTCACAAGGCAGAAGCAATCGTTCAGATGTGTCCCATATCCAACTTTTATGGTGCTGGCCTCTTAATTTGTTGGTGGTTTTGCGAGGGGACAAGGTTGTCCCCACTATTGTTTCTCATGTGACCGACCATTTCCTCTTACTTGACCTGTACATTGCTCCCACTGCATCCTTTTTTTTCTCTCTCTTTCATTCTCTATATAAATATACATATAACTAAAGCCCTTTAATTAATCTCTTCCTTCCATATACAAAAAAAAAAAAAAAAAAAAACCATTGATCCTTCCCCAAATATTCTGATCCAAGAGAGAAAAAAACTCATTGCCAAAAAAACAAAGTTATTGAAGTTGAAAGAAATGACCAAAGAAGGACTTGGACTTGAAATCACTGAGCTAAGATTGGGTCTTCCCGGTGGTGAGACTATAAGTGTGGTGAATAAGAATGAGAAGAAGAGGGTGTTCTCGGAGATTGACGGTGGTGGCGGAGGAGATGAAAACAGCTGCTCCGGTGACCTGAAAATCGAGAAGAAGAATCAAGTGGTGGTGGGGTGGCCTCCGGTGTGCTCGTACCGAAAAAAGAACAATGAAGCTTCAAAATTGTACGTCAAGGTTAGCATGGACGGTGCTCCCTTCTTGCGTAAAATTGATTTGGCTATGCATAAGGGATACTCCGAGTTAGCCTTCGCTTTGGAGAAGCTCTTTGGTTGCTATGGAATGGGTGAGTTACATTTAGTTTTCCTTTTTTTTCTTTTCTTTGTGCACCATTTTTGAATCTTTCTTGTTATTTGTGGCATCATCTTTTTATGCTAGGGTAAATTAATATGCTTAACAAAGATTCATGCAAAAAATATATATATGTGTGCGTATAATTCAAATATATGCAAAAAAAACACATTAAATTGTATGCGGTGCTTGAAGTTGATAGAAATATTATGTTACTCAAGTGTGGGTGGTAGTAAACTTTCACATTGGTTTTGAATTGAACCAGATGAGGATTATATAAATACAAAATACCCATAAATCTGTAATTTTAAAATTTTGAGTTGATATGTTGTGTCAATTCACTTATTGTACTTTATCATTTATGCTTGTCTTTGATTTATTAAGAGAAAACTTGAATTTGAATAACCCCCCTCCATTTTGGGTTGATATGTTGTGTCAACTCACTTATTTTACTTTATTATTTATGCTTGTCTTGATTTATTAAGAGAAGACTTGAATTCGAATAACCCCCCTCCATCCCCGGGCCTTATATTCAACATGAAAAAAGAAACTATAGTAAACTTTTGAATATTTTCCAACATAATTTTGTTTGTGAGTTTCTTTGTTGATCTTGATAATGATCATTGGCGTTGAGATATTGATCCTTTGTAATTACTATTAAAGAGCAAGACGGGGTTGATATAGGTTTAATTGGCAGCATAGGCGCTTCATGAACTCGACACAACCTCAAATTAGATGATGCTTATGTAATTAGTTAAATGTATTGACCGGTATATATTATATATATAGTATAACATATGGATTATGAAGAATCTTTACTCAATTTGAATATTAATTCTAGAAAGAATGGGCACGAGTAAAATAATTTCGAGGAGAGAGATATATAGAAGAACAAAGTGGGAGACCAAGTAGTATATATAATAATTAGACATTCTCCTTATTACGTGATGGCGTGCAGCTAGTGTATATATAAAGTTGAACTGCTCTATTCATGACAAAGAATTAAGCGCAACAGATTAGGCTAAATATAATATGGGTTCACTTTTTTATGGTTAATGTAAATAACTTACCTATAATAAGTCTAAAACGATATCGTTTTGCGGTGGAAATCAAGCTATTTTTGTAATTATAATTAATTTCAGGATTATAATAATTTTTTTTATTATAATTTTTTAATTTTTCAACTCAAAACGACGTTATTTTGGGAGCGAATGTAGATAACTTATCTACATTCACTATAGAAATATTAAAGCAATATAATATTTATTCATAAACACTCAATTAGAATAGGTAGAAAAGGAATCAAGCCCCACAAAAGGCAAAAAATAATAATGTAAGTAATGAAAAGTAATATTTGTTTTCAAAATTTTGTTGGCAGGCGAGGCGTTGAAGGATGCAGACAATTCTGAACACGTTCCCATTTATGAGGACAAAGATGGTGACTGGATGCTGGTTGGAGATGTCCCCTGGGAGTAAGTCCTTCTGCCCCTCCCTCCTATTTTATTATTTCTTAAATATATATGTTTAATATTTTTATGGAGAAAAATAGATTGTCTATGCTATGGTAGTTAAAATTATTGAATTTCATTGAATACGATAAGATTGATTCTTATAACTTCGATTATATTCAAATACACTAAATAAAGTTTTCTTAATCAAACTTAGGATAATTTCAATAACACAAAACAAACAAGTAGCTCGTGTGGTAGCTGAAGAGGATTTTACTTATTTAAAGTGAGGAATTTATTATAAAAAAATAAAATAGTAAAGGATTATAATATTGATGAGAATTTTATAATTATTTTTTTGGTTCCTATTGATGAGAACGTCAATAGTTGAATCATTGCTATAAAGTACATATAGACGGATAATAAAATTAAATATAAGGTTGTTAAAAGTTAACTCCTTAATTTTCTAATCAATAATTACCACTACTTATTTTATGTTCATGTCACTTTAGGGGAGTCCAATCTAACTCAACAAAATGTATATTCTACATAGATATATGTATGATTGGAGCAAAAAAAATTAGTCATTATATTTAGGTTCGAAATTCGAGTATAACTTCAAACCAAATAAATAAGCATCAAATTAGTATGAACGATTGATTTTTTTTATTTTATTTTTTGTGTGTGGAGGCATCTATTTTTGTTTTCTGAGAAAAAAGTGATAATCGTGCAAGATACGAGTCAAGTAAACCAGAAATACTTTAGTCTAGTGTTATAGACTATAGAGTCAGCTTAACGTGTTTGCTGAGCTAGGTCACCTAGCTTACAGTTTATAGTGGATCCACTACCAACTATGATTCCATATTTGAAAACTAGATGCCACGGAAATTTCGCTTAATTGACTACCTACTTTGATATCTACTATATATCATTATTGTGTATGCGTAAGGTTCTTACGTGCTAATTACCTAACTAATAAAGATGCATGCGTGGTTTACAACCTAATCAATCAAACTAGGCTAGTTGTCCCAGACTCAAATAGCATATATATATCCAAGTTACTCCAAAAAGTGAAATACGGATTAGTTGGCCAAAATTATTTAGAGTGTTCAAGGCATTATTAAAATTTAAAACTTCAAAAGGGAGGGGGGGAATCGGTGAGATTTGAATTTTATAAAACTTTACTTAGGAAAATGAAAATCGATTTTTTTTTTTTTTTTTGTGAAACCGACAATATATCTTGGACCCCATATAACTAACATGCGTGAATTCCTTCGTTATAATGTTCATGGGATGGGAGAAACAATTATACGTAATGGCCTACCCTGAAAAAGGGAAAGCCATCATTGATAAAGGCTTCTTATTTGGCCACATTTCCGAGAATGATAAAATGTCCCATGAAATATATGAACTTTTCAAAACAAAAAGATAAATAAGTAAATTAATAACGATAATGATTTAGTCATTTTTATTTAAAACTATATTATTTTTTTGTGAAATAAATATACAAAAAAATATGTTTAATCATGAATGTTTCTTTAATTAACAGGATGTTTATCGAGTCATGCAAGAGGCTGAGGATTATGAAGAGATCAGATGCGAAGGGCTTCGTCTGCAACCAAAAAGATCTTTAAAGTGATTCATAGAAGAAGTGGCAAAGTGAAAGATATATATTATGTTAGGCGTCTAATTAATGTCGTGCACGTTTCGATGATCATCGATCATTCCAAATTTATGTTGTCGTTTTATTATATTTGAGGAAGCATGCCTTTATAGTTTGGGGTATGAATCATACTTCTGTTTATGTTAATGGAGGACATATAGGACCCTATATAATTAATAGGGAAAATTCATCGTTTTAGATTAATGTTTTGCCATATTTGTTAATTTCCAGTTCACTATATAGTACATCTTAATGATTGTTTCAGTATATTTTTAGTTTCTAATTTATATTCTGTTACTTGATCCAAACTCTTTTTTTTTTCTTTTTAATAAATAATAAGTTATAGTAAAGATCATAAACAAAGATAGAGTGAAGGAATATTTCAAGTTCATGAACTGTATGTATATTTGTTTCTCACAACGTACATGAGCACATGGTTTTCTTCTTTTGGCCATTAATTTCAAGGGCTGCACATGATATATATATATATATATATATATATATATATATATATATATATATATTTTGTAAAGAACCTTGGGATACACCACTTGTTGAGATATATAGTTCCACATTGGTTGTATGTGAACTAATGTGGAGTTTATAAGACCTTGGGCACTCCCACCCTTTGAGCTAGCTTTTGGGGTGGTATACACCACCCAAAAAGAAACGCCACAAGAGAAAGTGGGGGGCGGCGATGCTCTGATACCATGTAAAGAACATTGGGATACACGACCCCAAAAGCTACTAAAACCTTATAAACTCTACATTAATTACACATACAACCAATGTGAGATTATATATCACAATATATATATATATATATATATATATATATATATATATATATATATATATATAATATATATATATAATATATATATATATATAAGAGCGCTAAAATCGAGCTCTATTAATCCTAGGTGCAGAATCTTGTTTGTATTCAAACAATGCCTGAATATACACACACTAACTAATCATCATTTTAAAATCAACTCAGACACAAAGCAGTTGGATAGCATTAGATAATTTATTTTTTTATTCTACGTACCAAGATCAGCATTATACCTGCTTAAATCAAAAGTAGTAATTTACCATACGAATGAACTAATTGCTTGCATGTCACCAACCATGATTTGTTTAACGTTATTGATACCAACCTATTAGCTATATTCAATTCATCATATTATATAAACAAACACGCGCTCTAATGCTCTTGGGATTTTATAAAAAAATGATAATGATATATTTTTAAACATTCTTTTTTTATTATTATCTTTATTATGAAGTGAAATTTTGCGGGAGTCTGATTAAATAATGACTTTATAGTAAGAAAAATAAAGATCCCGAATGGATAAACTAATTGTGCCCTTTCAAAACAATAAATGAAGAAACGAATAGAAAATACAGAACATATAGTGCATAGCTAGGCTTCAACACTCTTGAGTAATTGCCAGATGTCTTGTATAACTATTTGGCAAGGCATGCAAGTCAGCATTGATCTTCCTCTCATCATATGATTCATATCATCATGTCTGTATATAGGAACTTGGGCTAACCATAAAGCCTATACAGCTGTTGTCAAGGACACACGTGATGAATCTGGAATGTCAATTTAATCATAACTACTATAGTACTATAATATGCTACCCTACAATAAGAAGAAAAGGGTCCACTGTGCCATCAATTGCCTCCCCTTTAGGTAAGCATAGGGGACGAGCCATTGAGCTGTGCTTGTCCCAGAGTGTGTATGAAGTTGGACTATGGGTTTCATCTCTTTCTTTACTTTGAGTTTGTGTCAATGATAAGAAAAAAGAGACTGATTTCTCCAATTTGGAAAGGAGTTCCATCACAATACACCTTCCCCTTTGCTGTTGTTGTATTTTTTTTATTTAATCAATTGATTGCTAAAACTAATTAAAAGTACTTCAAATTGAGTTGGTATCTTATTCATAAAATGGGAATATAATGCCTTTATTTGAGGCAGAATTTATTGTTGCCTGTTTCTCCAATTTCTTGACCCAATTTCAACTTCGCCCACTTGTATACTTTTTTTTATATAAACTGCAGGTATTGAGACAATCCTGTTCGAGGTGGGTCCAGAACTAAAGTTTTAAAGTCCTTCCACAAATAGTACTGAGGAGAAGATTAAACACATGCTCTCACCCTTACCTGCTCAATTCTCATGTGTCAACTAAGCTACTATAATTCGATAGGCACAACCATTACTAATCCATTTAAGTGTTAATTCGATCTGTACCATCATAGTAAGTACGCAATTAAGTATTAGTTATTTTGAAGGGTAATTTTTATGGGTTTTTTTTTTTTTAATTTCATATAATCCTAATTATTCTTGTTATTGAAGAGAGTGAGTGATATTACATTACTAAGAGATTTGAACCCATGTATAGAACAGAAAAGATAATGATAAGAAATATCATACACAATGCAATTATGAAAAATTAGAACAGACATACTTGATGTCAGTATAATGGAACAGACAGATGAATGTATGCAGTATGAGGAATTAAATCCGAGCCCACAGAACATGTCTCCTTAAGACAATTTTTTCCCTTACTGATGCCAAAGGTTGATGGACAAGAGTCTCCCAGGATAGAACAGATTTCGTCTGAAGAGTGGTAGCACTACCAGTCAACAGCCCAAACGAACACAACAATTGCCAGAGGAAGTACACTAGAAGTATGAAAGGAAAATGCGAATCGGAAGAAGGAAAAATTCTGGCAGAGTAACAGTGCAGAAAATCAGATGATTTTTCTGGGGGGTCAGTGTCTATTTATAGATACTGACCGGTCACGATGAACCGCCATGACTGACGGCCGCGAACGGGCACGACCGGTGACCGGTTCGGTGAACAGATACAAACGGTCACCGATTCGGTGAATAGACACAATCAGTGACCGGTTCGCGAAAGGTAAGAACCGGTTCAAAAAATTGGCGAGTAGAAACGTTTGGATTTGAAAAATTAGAGGGAAGCAACGGATAGTCACAGAAGTATTTTGGACAAAAAATTAAAAAACTATTTAATAAAAAATTATTTTTATTTAAGCCCACCTAGCTACTCTCCCTCCACAAAATGTGTAGTGACCCAAGGGCCAATTTAAGAGTGTGGGGTGGGAGCTTATAAACTCTCTCACCTCCTACTAATTATTCAATGTGGGACTTCTTAGATCCACACACCCCTTCAACTTTCCTTTTCTCTTTTCTTCCTTAACCAACTTTTTATTCATAACCAATAGATTGTCCACACAATCCCCCACATGGATAAGAAGTCAATTCATCGTGAATAAAATGCAAAGTGTAATTTCCTCAACGAGAAACAATTGCATCGAGATAGGTAGAGTTACCTTTCTCTAGTGAAAAAGTATCGGATATACTCGGTCAATCGGTGGTCTGGGCGACTTGAACCGTCGACCTTTAGTGTATACCTACACAATAGGAGTCAACAATTGCTTCTCTAGCATTGTTGGTCCTTTGTTGTGCCCATTTTGGCCGTGGGACACTTGCCTGGTTCTGCGAGTGTTTTAGAGAATCGACATTTGAAAAATTCTTATAGAAACGGCCCTCACTTCATACTCACATAGGTGATTTCTTGTGATGTAACTCACCATACATCATCTGAATACAACAGATTTAGGAGTGTGAGGTAGAACCTTATAAACTCTCTCACCTCTTACTAGTTGTCCAATGTGGAACTTTTTAAACCCACACCTCCCTTCAACTTCCCTTTTCTCTTTTCTTCCTTAACCTACTTCTTATTCATAACCAATAGATTGTCCACACAATTATATATAAATTCCAACAATTCTTATGGAGCAAATTAGATCCTTGAGTATCCTTACCACCCAGGCTAAGGAAGGGACCCACGTATATATGAGACTAATCCCTTATATGATTCTTTTCTTACAGTCAAAGCTATGATTGCTTTCTTGAATAATACAGGGAATTCAAACATGATGGTCATTAAAATCATGGAAATTGTTTTGAAAAATATGAATGGAGTTTTGTACAAATGAATGATTCATTAGGCTTAATTATGCATTACACTTTCTCTTCTTCGATATGATTATCTTCTAGACTTCTTTTTCTGTTCTCGCTTTTTGATATATAAAAAGAATGGGAAAACAAGAATCTTGCCAAAATTTGGTGAGAGAAAAAATATGCCAGTCCCGCTTTTATAAAGTTTTCTCAGACAAATCAAACTCTATACTCATATGAATTTAGAAAAGAGTTTGTAAATAACTTTGAAATCTCATTATCATTGAATTGAAATTAGGCATGCAGTGGTATGAACACGAGCTTAAGGTTGGTCACTAGCAGATGTTGATTTTCTGCCTTATTATGAAAGACTTGGACTGATTAGATGTGTCCCACGAGGGATAAAGTATGTAGGTGCATGGGTGACCTAAAGATGCAGCGGTATATCAAATGATGGTAGTTCAGTTGGGGCATAGGAGCTGAGCAAGTGGAGAATAAAAGTATATATTCGATCTTTTCTAATATTATTTTTGGGAGAGATTTAAAATCTTAATACTTGATCCGCTCCTATTAAAATTGTCTCCAATTTACTGTGGAGGAAAAGTATAAATCAAAGCTCTACAATATAGTCATGTAAACGGGCCCAAAGGACCAGCCATCGGCCGGTCCAAAACAAGACTATCCTAAAATTGACATTAATAATAGACCGAAGTTGTGACCCTTTAAACTTCTCCTGATGATGGCACCCTTTATCATTTAATTTATGAGAAGCAATTGTCGCGTGTGATCATGGTCTATACTATATATATGAATGCTTGGCTAAAGAACAGTAGGAATCTATGTATCTCCATAGTTTTGCATGGCTAAATATGCAAATTTCTTTGGGATGATTATATTTACAAATTTTTTGTTTACAAACTATATTAAGTATGACCAGTCATACTAATTAATGTAATTCGTGAAAAAAAAAATTGTAAACGAATCATTCCCCAATTTTTTTTTACAGAGAAATGAAAGGTAGGAGAGAGGGACGTACAGTCTCCAATCTCCAACCCTTTTAAAGTAATGGCCATGACATTTTCCCACCATCTTTATATATGTCCATTGGCTTGAGTGGCCGTGCATGCATGGGAGAGGTCTTTCCTATCATCATGGGTAATTGGTCAAAATTTCCCAACTGGTGAAGACAACCGTTGCTTTCTATTAACAGCCAGAATAATGACTGGTGAGGAAAGGGAAAGCTATTGCTCTACCTCGACCACGTTAAGGAAAGTTCCGTGGCAAAACACCATACATATATATATATATATATATGCGTTTTTCAACAAAATTTATCCGTATAAATTATGTGATTTTAACATAATTGTGTCACGTCTGTCCCTTCCTCTTTAATTTCATAACTTTTTATTATCTCTCACTTCATGTAAATATCAATTAACATTATAAGTAATAATTATTACATAATAATAAAGATGATAAATAATTTAACTATTATCATTTTAAAAAATTAACATTAAATTTATTTAATCAAATAATAATTAACATCACAAATAATTCTAAACATAATTTTCAGTATTTTTACAAAATTAAAATATTAAATTTATCATATATCAATTTCTTTTAAATAAAAAAATTATCCAAGAGCTGTATATGACATTGACATCAAATATTCTTGAAGAACTGATTTATCCTATTTTCGTACTTCTCAGTCTCTCTTTATTTTAAATCCTCTTGTAACAAAACATAAATTTTTTAAGGAACCTATGTTTTGGTGTTAAAAAAGAAAACAATTTATATTGAATTTTATTAATTATATTAAACTTTTCTTCTAAACATATGTCCGTCCTATACAAATACTTGAACAAAAAAGTAAGTATAATTTCCAAACATAATCAAATACTATAAATAATACTAATATTTGAATCCTAAAATTATTCATAAAATATATACATAAATTTGGGTTTTTTAAATCACAAAAGCAATAGTGTTATTAAAATGATTGTGTCAAGACTCAGGAAGCTAAACGCGTTCCTCAATCAAAACACATTTAATATTAATAATCACATTTAAGAACAAATAAATAAATAGTATCTTCTACTGTTAATAATATTAATAATCAATTTTCTGATAGAAAAAGGACCAAGGCATACCGAAGTTAACCCAAGTTTTTCTAAGTTTAAATTCCTTCCACTCTGTTATTACAAATTCCAGCGCCAACGCTATTTAAAGTAAGATTGTCTATTTATAAAGGAAATAAATCATCATGTCGTAACAAATAGAGTTGTTAAAATGGATCTGCCCATTCCATTAGGCGTTAGTCCATACAGGATAGGGTCAAAAAAGTCTGCAGATTTAAATAAACCTCAATAATAAGGTTCACGCGAAACGAAAGTCCAATGAGTCAGAGTTAGCCAACGGGCCATTCAAAATTATAATTTCATAATTTTTTTTATATTCAATACATTAAAAAATATTTTAACAAATAAATATTTAACATTTTCCTAACATATTTTATACAAGTTATAATTTTTTATAACTTAATTTTTTAATAAAAAATAATATTTGTACACAATATATATGTGACTGTGAGAACGAAAACAAAATTTTAATATAAGTGAAAATTTAGTTTCTACCTTTACTAAATTCATTATTAAAGGATGTCATCAAATAAAGATTTTCTTACAATGAGTCATAACAGAATACAACAGCTCTAGTGAAAAATTAAAAGTAACAATGAAAAAATGATCTTAATACCAATATTGAATAATTACTTTTAGTATGTTATATATTTGAAAGTAAAATCATTGATTTTCTTCAAGTAATACTATTACAACTTAGTTATTATTATCTATAAAATTACTAAAGTGCATTGTATACAATATGTTTCAATAAAAATTTAGATTTACATTTATTTTTATTGATGCGCAAATGAAATTCTTTTTTGAAATATGTCACTGCCAGAATATTCATTTTTATTGTATAAAATTATGAATAACTTTTCACATGACTCATAACAGGTGACTTTTATTTTTCATGACCTTTGATGTAGTCTATAACCATCACATTAATGATTTGTTGAATTATAGAATACATCCAATGGGAAGTGTTATAAAATATTATGGATGGCCTTTTACATAGTTCATAATATGTGACTCTTTGTTTTTCATTACATGTAATATAATCTACAACCATCACACTAATGATGTTTGAATTATAATTATTCCCCTAATTATGTTTAGAGTCCTAGACAAGGAGGTATCTTATATGAAAAAAGTGGTACTTGTATGAAATCACATAAATTATTGTTTTATATAGAAATAGGATTTGAATGACATTTGATCAGTCTAAGGATTTTGATGTCTCTAATAATTTTGCCAAAACAGTCCAAGAAGGCCTGAGATGTCATTTTGTTACGCCCAACAATAACCATTACTACAACAACATTATCTTTTATCCCATACTAGTTGGGATATTTATAACAATAATAACATCACATATATCCCAAATTAATTGGGATCATCCATGAACCCATACTACTGAGTTCATAATATTCAAGGCGAGGTGCCATGTCTTAGGATTCTAGTTCTATCTCATAGCTTAGGATGAAATGTATATACAAAAGATATTTTAAAGAATGAACAAGGGTAAATGAATGGAAGTTGAAGAGAGCATTAGATTAGACAGGATTTCCTTCTTGTGTACAATATCACTATCAGTTAGGAGTCCCTTGCATTGTCTTGTCAATCATCTTTATCTTCAGAACAGAGTTTCAAGCAGTTTTGGTGAAGACAAAGCCGCTACACATTTAAACTGGTACAGAGAATTTCCATAATGAACATCATGCAAGTTAATAGTAAATAGATCCACTACTAGTTCAAGTTAAAAAATATTCATATAATGGGATCTTAATATGTACAATGCAAAAAATGGTCTTGAGAGAGTCATCTCTTTATAAGGTTTGAGAGTGCTCGAACCTAATTAGTCCAAAGGATGAACCGGTTGAGGAGACTCAAAAAAAAAAAAAAAATCATATAAATTGAAGTGAAAATGGGGTCTTAATATGTATACCTTGTCTTGTCTGTACTTGGTGCGGATGGAAGTTAGAGGGCATCCATTGAAATTCAGATGTAGGTCTTGCAATGCAAGAACTGTGGTTTTCAAATCTGATGCTTTGTAAAAGGCATAGTGTTGAAGAGTTTGATTCTGAAATAAACAAATGAGTGTCATGCTTCGTTTACATAACCTCACAAGTAAAGGAAAATATGAATGAGACACACTAACCCATGGGTGGTTTGACTGATCTAGTGTCCATCTAGCAAGAAATACAGCTGATGCAGCAATTATTGAGGGTAAGAATTTCAAGAAACCATAGTCCATTAGTGTTAGTTCAGCTAGATAATTGGCCAGGTACTCCAATTCAAGTCTTGGACCCTCCTGCATAATTTTAGAAGGTAAGTGATTAGTAATACTCAAAACACTTTGGTATGTTCTTGACCAAGCAGCATTTCCACTAGATCAATCTTTTCACCTGGTATGAAGCTTGTGCTGCTCGAAGAAACCTCCTAAGAACCAAGAATGTAAAAAGATAATTGCATTCAGGATCTTCCAATAACGAATTTGAAATTTTCTTTTCACTTTTTTGAATGGATATATTAATGTCAACAAGTACCTGAGGAAAGTTTGTGTAGTAGGAGCAAACAGTTGATATTCAGACGACTTTAACACTTGACTCTCCATTTTTAGTACCTGCCCACTCACATTATTCATCAATTGCAAAGAGTCCAAAGATTTTATGCCTAATCTTGTAAGATACAATCATTATTGATTTTTGTGTAATGACTATGAGTGACAATATAAAATCCAAAGATCTAAAAATGTGAATTTGAAGTTTTGAACAGCCAATGAATTTTATGTTAGAGCTTGAGAAAAGTTTTCAATTTTTATTTAATAAAAACTCTTGTAAGTTTCAATGCATAAACTATAAATTCCTTAAGCCTTAACCATTTATTGTTGAAAAAGTATGACATACCTCCACTTTCGTGTATGTATTGTCTGTGATGAAGCAGAAATCTTCAATACGAGGGGCATTGATTTCTTCGTACTTCCTTCAATCACAGAAAGCATAAGACAAATGTAACATTTCCAAATGCATTACAATGAATACTACACCCTTCAGCTAAACTTACGATATTTTCCTGGTTTCAAAGTTCTTAAAGAGCAGTAATCATAATAATTTAATAAAATCAAGTGGAGCAAGACTCATAAGTCGGCAACAGATTCTGCATGATGTATACTACTATCTTAGTAGTTAAATTCATGTCAATCACCGTAAGAAGCAAATGCCATCAAAGTTTTAAGTAAACAACTCAAAGTTTTCTATCTTTAGGAAGCCATCCTTCAAATCCTAATCCGAATTGTCAAGGCCTGAAAGATAACCTCTTTCTTGAACGTCCATTCATTGACACAGAAACAAGGATATGACACCTTGTCTTGTCAACAAGAAGCATCAAGGTTTAATATGGAGCTATACAACAGCATCAACTCAACGGGTAAATGTCAGTTTTAATATGAAGATATCATGAATGTAAGGCTGTTGAAGAATATGCATGAGAAGCCATGATGTAAACTACATTGAATTTGAGAACTTACGAGGCAATTAGCATGCAGGTGATGCCAAGTAGCTGAAGTTTTTGTCTTTCAATGTAATTTTTGGAGAGAAACCAATCAATGAGATATACAGTGAGATAAAGAGTGTCTGGTACCAATTTGTATTCCTCAGAAACCTACAAAATAGCTTAGTAAGAACACAATTTGGTTTCTGAAATACAAAAGAAAAAGTTTCCTTGTTTATCTTTTTCTCAAAAATACTAAAGTTACTTCCAACTCAAGCATTGGGATTAACCAAATTTTATTGCTCCTTGGTTGGTAAGAACTATTTTAAATCTCCATGGACCTCACGGAATCTCTTTGGATTTACAATCCTCTCTATACTGATACTTTCCATTAACCTGATCACACACAACTGCATGCTTCCTAATCAATCCTATAATTCCTATCATGTCATCCCTCATCTTCTCTCCTCTGATAGCTTCAATTCTAAAGTGGATATTGTCACTTTGTTTTGGGGCATGTAATCATCATGTCATACATCTTTGATATTCGTAACCTCGTGCATTGTGAATGAAGTAACTCCTACTTATAAGCAATGATCTTCATATTTTTTCCCATGTTACCACCTCACCATTATCATCTCTACAATACTCAATTTCTCGCGTCTTACCCTACAACAGTCTGTATTATATTTGAAAATTAAATGGTGCAAACCTCAACTAGCCAATCAACCAGTATTCCACGCATGCTTTGAGTGATATCTCGCTGCACCTTTTCCATAAAATTAGCATACGGCCTTCTTGCTAGCTGAAATATAAAATGTAAGACAAAAAAAAATTAAGACATGAAACAAAATCTAAGAAAAGCAGATGACAGAAAGGTTATGGTAATTCTGCATTCAATTTTACAGAACCATTAGAAATCAGGAACCCCAGTATTATCCAACATTGTTTCAATTCAAGTACCCTATAGGATTTGGCATGCACATTACAAAGTTTTTAACTATCTTTTGCTTATTCAGAACAAGGTTTTTAGCACCCAACATGTCAGTGTAGCATTTTATCTGCATCTATTCGGTTAAGGCTTGGTTGTTATTGTTGTACTGCGATAGCCATTATTGGTTAGATATTGACATATGAAAACTCTTAAATTCGAAAAGTGCTTGACACAAAACAGGTAATCAGAAAGTAAAAGAAATTATCAAGTTGAAAATTTTTCTTCACTCTGTAACCTTAAATCTTGTTTGTAGTATAGGATCCTGTGGTCCTAATCAAGAAGTTGAATGGAAGCAAACATTTATATAATTCAAAATCTTATAACATTGGCTGCACAATCTTAAGAAGTTCTGTCAATTTAAAAAAATGCTCCCAATCAGTGCTGCTGTGGTGAATATTTCTGATTATCAGCACACTATTAATGTAATGTGTGAATATACAGAGCTTCTGATATTAAAGGGCTTTTCTTCATTCCTCATCTCTTTGGGATGTGAAAAGAAGTCAATTCTTAAATCCTAAACATTAAAAAGCTGGCAGAAAAGGTATGAGTATATTTTCCAAACTTTCAAACCAAGCAAAGTTGATAGAGGCGATAAGGCTTTATTTTAAAAGAGAAGACTGCTGCATACAATGACATGATATTTATGACACAAACCTCAGCAACACGCAAGTTTCCATAGATATCAGCAGCATAGAGCTTGCAAAATTGAGGATCTTCAAGATCATCATCTATATTAATGATGTTTGGGTCTTTCAATCCACTCAAAAATTCAGAAAGGTTACCTTTCTTGGCTGCAACAGTTTGCATATTCATGTCAGTACTGATCAATACACAGCTCAGAAAAAACATGAAAAATACATAGCTAAGAAATTATTCCTTTTTTAAAGGTCTTGAACAAATTCAATAACCCAGTATAATGCACACCAAGAAATCATCTAGGTATTTGATTAAAAACAATCTCAGACTTCAGAAGTTCATATCCCTTGGAGCTACATATACTGATTTAGGTTCAGCAGAACCATTAAAAATCCTTCACGAAACTATAATAGAAACAAAAAATATTTAGTATAGTAAGACTGGAATATTTGAGCAATGCATAGACTATGTTATACAATAAGGAGGCTTAATATGCAGGGTGGCACATTAACATTGCAGACTAGTGAGAAAATAGACAGAATAACCTTTCTTCTGAGAAATCAAAGCATGAGTAGATATTCCAAACGTCAGACTTTCAGGAAGACTACCATCCTTGCTACACTCATTGGCACCCAGCCGCAGAAGTGCATTGTTTTCCAAGTTAATTGAGTACATAGCATCTTCTGATTTTAATTCTGTTTCCTTTAAACTCTTTGCTTTGGATTCAACTTGAAGTTTTGGTAGATCCACAGCAACAGAAGAAGCCACTTTGGAAACATTAATTTGACCAGCCTTAGCCAGCTTTCTTTTCTTAGCCTGGCAGTCACAAAAATCTACTATTAGGCAAGGAAGATGAGAGTAACTTTCAATGAATGTGACATCAATCCACCAATAAATTTCAAGAGGAATGGAAACAGTTAACTGTGATGGGATAGTTCAATTCAAAATAAAATATTTTTCTTGCTCTAAACAGTTGGTGCTTAAGACATGGATAAAAACCTGAATTTTAGTTGAATTGAAATTGCCCTTTTGTGCATTTTCACTGCAAACATTAGTAACATCCTTAAGAACAACCCTCTTTTTACTTTGAAGAGATGTATTATCAGAAACTGCTCTTTTTGGTGGTTGCTTCCGATTTCTCTGTGTTGACTCCTTCAAAGGGGAAAGCTTTCCAGATGCACGAAAAGCAGCAGCTCGAGCACGAGTCAATCGACCAGGAAGCTCCCCAGCTTTCAACGTGACATTGTTTTCTTTCTTCATGTCTGAAAAGATTCTGAACAACAGAAAACAGCACAATCTTGGTGTGTGAATCCTGCAACAAAAAGACCAAATGTTAAAAAATTTATTGATAGATAACGTAAGAGATCAGGGCCTAATTTATCAACGCAACTTAGTTTGATGCATGAAAAATTTTATTTTATTTTATTAAATTTCTTTTGTTAAAGTTTCTTGACATGACCACAAGCAATGTTAACAGAATTAAAATAAAATAAAATTGAGAGATACAAATGTTACAAAAGACAAGAGAAAGAAAGAAGGGATAGAAAATTGAGGCAGTTGAATATAGAGTGCACATCACAGTTTTGAACAGCCCAGAAGAAATAAAAAAGATACCCGAAAACAACTTTCTTTGTCCTTGCAGATCAACATTACAAAATTTCAAATTTACATATTCTAAAGTTTCAAAAAAATTCTAAGGTTTTAGTTCAATCTCGTCTTCAACCTTAAGATGTGGATAAGAAATAAATTGCTCTGTGTTGCTTCTAAGTTCACAAGCTTCACATTTGAAAATCAAATAAAATGTACCCTCTTTTACCCTCACTTTTTTCATCCAGATTTTTCTTACAGGTTCAAAAAAAAGAAAAAAAAAAAAAAATCAAAAACCAATCTTTCTATTTATACATTATCTGTTATGACATTCTCTAACAAACCCAGTAGAAGGATAACAAAACCCTATCACTACAAAGCAACATTAGCCACAAACACACCCACATAGGACTTCAAGAGACTTTTGATTTTTATTTTTTTCAAAATCATGACATTGAAAAAAAAAATAGTAAAAAGTGCAAACGTTTAACTTTGTTTCATGGGAAGTGCATGAAAAATGACCTGGTTCTATCTGGCAAGCTCCACCATCTCCATTGAAGAGAGATAGGAGCTCACAGAGTCGCAGACACAGTGATAGTGAGAGAGAATGCTCTTGGTCTTTGTTTATGGAAGTGGAAGAGAGCGTGAGTGAGCGGGATGTATTTGTTTAAAAAAGGTTTTTGAAAAAATAATAATATAATACAATGTGGTCCTAGTTGACTATTGACTCAAAAGTTAAAGACAGTTCATAGTTAAGTGAAAACTGATGTTTTTTATTTAGATTTACAGTGAGATTGCTTGTTAGATCTGTTCCTCTAACGTTTTTTATTACTTTTTTACCCTTGAGTTGTCTCCTTTATTACAATTAAATTGCTTTGTTGGCTACTTTATTATTAACTCCTTTATTGGAAATAGCTTAAAAGTATTTTGGTCATTTAATAGTTCAGGTTAAGTATTAAATTTGTCAAATTGGTTGGATGGTGGTTTCTTTAAAAGTTTAAAATCCATTACATGTGAATTTTTGTGGGGCACTTTTCTATTGTTCTACATGTGCATTTTAAACTGGATTAATTTTTGTTATTCTGTTAACATGGTAATAGCCTTGTTAATAGCAAGTCATACGATATTTAAATAAAAGAATATATAAACTTACACATTATGTATAGTTAAATTATACAAATTTTAACATTAAAAAATAAGATTAAAGAATATTTTATAATATATATTTCAACATAAAAGTATTAATTTTAAAATAATATCATATTATGAAAAATATATAAATTTAAGTAAATAAGTTTTTTATTTTAGTTATAATTTATATATATATATATATATATATATATATATTTCAAAACATTATGAAACATTGGGTCAAGCTGGATCTTGTACTTGCCCCAAAATTTTATTAGGTTCAGTAAATAACCCGAATTCCACCCAGTTAACATTGGGTCTACCAATTTTATTTTATTTTTGTTAAACGTCTACCAATTTATTAGTCATGAGTACTCCTAAGTTTTAGAATAAAATAAACTTTTTTTTTTACCAAAAAAAATAAATAAATAAACTTATTTTCTGTTATTGAGTGTGTTTTACTTAAGTTGTATGAATTATTCATATTTTTTACTTTTATAATTTTAATGCTGTAGTTAACACATTTAATAATAGCCTAATAGGGCACTCAAAATTTCTCTTTGAACCTAAATCTTTTACTTGTATTGATTTTTTATTGAGTCTATACTGCCATTTTGTAAAAATAAAATATGGATAACAAGGAATAAAAATCCACGTATTTATTCTTCATATTATGTCTCTTTGATCTTTTTTAAACTTTCTTTTTTCCAATAATAGCTTTGATCGTTAAGCATGTTCGTTAAAGAACCAAAAAAAAAAATGTCCTGAATTCAACTTAAAGTCAAAATTGTTGAAACTAATGTGTATTTTTTTTATCATTGGATCAAAATTAAATCAATTGTTATTTTTTTTAAAACATAAAATAGGACTATTTCTATTACCAAAAAAAAAAAATATAGGACTATTTCGCAGTTCAAAATTTAAAAGTTGAATTGAAAAGATTTTGTTTAAAAAAAATACTCATAATGTTGTGACCAAAGAGTAAGTCCAGTGCAAAGACGATGGGATCCAGAGAGAGAGACCATGTCTTCATTGATTGTGATGTGAGTGACAAATGTAAGCTGCATTCCCAGTTTTATTAAGAACTCGTTTGTATTGGCTTTTTAAAAAAATTCTTTTTATTGCTTTCTTATTTTAAATGTATTTTTTATAAAAGTTACAGCTATTTAGATTTTAAAAAAAATATTTGATTTTTGAAAAAAAATATTTGACTTTTGACTTCTGCTTTTTTTAAAAGCTAAAATTTTTAGCTTTCGAAAAAAGTAGGTTTTTGAATTTTTTATGACTTCTGCTTTTTTTTAAAACAGGCATCCAAACAGACTTTTTTTGAGAAATGCTTTTTTTTTTCTTAAGAAAGCAACTTTTGAAGAAAAAAACTCAACCAAACAGGCTCTAAATCTATTTAAAACCTAAGTTTTGTGGTCATTAATCTTTTCCCGAATTGTCAATTCAAACGTTGTCGTGATGCACATAAAAATATGAACGGTGGCTCAACTATTAAGTATTAACTACTGAGGGTGAGAACATTCAAATTCAAAATTCGCCACTATGTCATAAACAGAGCCTATCTTACAAATTACAAAAGAAGGTCAATAGAGTAGGAACTTTGCTCTGTTAGTTTGAGATTCTGCACGACTTGGAAATGATATTTGATAAATAAATAAAAAACTCTAATTAAAAAATCATTTGGAAGCGCCAGAACTAGACGTATACAGTAAAAAAAAAAAAAATCAAATACTTGCGGGTTTGTAGAAATATGTAAAAAGAGTGACAAAGCAATTAAAATTAAAAACTAGACATTTTTTGAACCATAGATGACGAGATTAAAGGAAACGGGGGCAATTTAATATGATTAGCACGTGACTCTTTATCTTTGTGACTGAAATGAGTTACATGTGGTGTGGCTTATCTACGCCCCGCATAAAGGGCATCAACCCTTACGCATAGGTCCTCAGTCCTAAGTAACCCCTTTAAATAATATTATTTAATTTAACCCCAAAATACAAACTACGAGTTACTAATTTGTTCAGTTAAAAAATAAAATAAAAATGTGTGTCATTTCGAAGTACGTAAAGTTGTGTTATTTTAAAAGAAAGAAAGAAATAGCTAAAGAAGGAGAGAAAATTAACAAAAAAATAAAAGTGTGGATCCCACCTCTTTTTGAGAATAAAAAAATATAAGTTGTATCATTTAAGAGGATAAACGTTTTTCCCTTATTTAAATCCTACTCTTACTAGTGTGATTTTTTTTGGGTACATGATATCATATTTAAATCCTCATTTTTTATTTTTTTACATTGTAATAATTATGTATAAAATACTTGCATGCCAAATCAAAATGAAATGTGATAAGAGTGCATGTGTTGCCTGTGTGTAAGATATGATTGTATTTAGCCTAATCTTTCAAAATATTAATAAGAGTAAATATCATTTTTTATCCTCAACAAATTTCATGATACCCGCTTTAGTTCCTAGCAAATAAAAAAACTATTTGTGATCCCTAAGAAATTCAAAATGAACTCATTTAATTGAAATTATGGTCCCTCACAAATTCAAAAAAGATCCACATTAATCTCTTAAAATGACTAAAATGAGTCTACTTTGAATTTCTTAGAGACCACGAATAATCTTTTTATTTGCTAAAGACTAAAGCGGACATCGTAAAATTTGATAAGGATCGAAAAGAGTATTTATTCTATTAATAAAGCATAGTTTAAATTCTGGGGTTAAATTAAATAATATTATTCAAAGGGATTAGTTAGGACTGAGGTCCTATGCGGAAGGGTTGATGCCCTTCATGTGGGGTTTAGGTAATCCACATGCACTTATTTCTTTCACAAAGCTGCTGGGTCACGTGCTAATCGTATCAAATTGTCCCCCGTTCCCTTTAATCTTGCCCATCTATATGATTCAAATATTTTCAAAATCTTTGAAGTTTTTGAGTTTTTTTTTTTTTTTTTGTTTAATATCAAATTCCATTTGCAGGTCATGGAGAATCTCAAACAAGCAGAGCGAATTTCCTACTCTGTTGACCTTCTTTAGCAAGAGACTAGGTTTATAACATAATGGCGAATTTTGAATTTGGATGTTCTCACTTCTCACCCATAGTAGTTAGTTACTAGTTAGTACTTGAGCCACCGCTCATACTTCTGTGTGCACCTCAACAAAGTTTGAATTGACAATACAGGATAAGATTAATGACCACAAAATTAGGTTTAAATATATTGAATAAATCTGGGAATCAGCCTACATTTGTCACTCACATCACTCAACAAACCTTCTCAATGCTGTTTATGCTAATAGCAACTACTTACCTTCTCCTTTTCTCTATATTGATTATCAACTTATTAAATTATCTTACACGCTACTAGATCAGAACTATTTTCATCCGAACTAATCCTGATTATCTTCATCTAGATAAGTGTTTTGCTGCAGCTTTAATTCATATGTCTACATTGGGATAGGTTGGAAGTGTATTTGCCACACACTTCGACACTCAAATCAAATTTTGTTTGATCAAGTTTTTATAAGATGTGCATTTTG